TGCTCAGACATGACTTTGAAATTCTCTAGTCCCAAAATTCACTAGTTGAAAATGGCTGTAAAAGTGGAGCAAACTTAGTTTTCCTGTGTCCACCTAGATGGGATTCTTTTAAGTGACATTTATTTAATTATTGGGGGGTGGGTTCCACAGTGGATCTCAGAGGACACTTTATGGAATCAGTTTTTCTTCTTCCACTATGGGTGTCCTGGGGATCACATTCATGTCATTGGGCTTAATGGCAAATACCTTTACCAGCTGAACCATCTAGCCAGCCTCAGAGATGGTTTTGATGAGGTAGCTTGCCTAATTAATCCCCAAGACCAGATGAAAAAAAAAAAACAGATGAATTAAGAGTTTTGAAACAACAATCTAATCAATAGCACACATGTACTTGGTAGTCATTTTAAAATAAGTATAATAAAAGGTGCAAAATGTTAAACACTAAATATACATATTTAAGTATAGATACAAAGGAAATTTTTATTTCAAAAGGAAAGTTTAGCCACTATAAATATGAATGACAAGAGTTCATTTGTGCTATTATTATTCCTTATTCATTACATATTCATTATATAAATTTCAGATATTTAAATAAAATCTATCAGCTGTTTATGGTCCTTTTAGCTCCTCCCATCTCACACATGTACAATGATTGGGTACAAGATGACAGTGTTGATGTTCAGTGGAGTACATACATCTCCTAAAAAAAAATGAGTCAGGGGCTGGAGAGATGGCTAAGTGGTTAAGAGCATGTATTGAGAGGCTGGAGAGATAACTAGGTGGTTAAGGGCACTGACTACTCTTCCAGAAGATCCTGGTTCAATTCCCAGCACCCACAAAGGCAGCTCACAACTGTCTGTAACTCCAGTTCCAGAGGCTCTGATGTCAATCCACATACCATAAAGTTAAATAAATAACATACTTACAAAAAGAAAGACAAGAAAGGATATTTATAGACTTCCTCACAAAATACTGACTGAATACAGAGAGCAAATTTAGTTTTAAAGATTTACTTTTATTATTTTCTAATCATGTGTAGGACTATGTATCTGCATGTGTGCCCATGAGTGCAGGCCAGATGTGTCAGATTCCAAGGAGCTGGAGTTATAGATAGTTGTGAGTTGCCTGATGTGTAGGTACTGGGAACCAAATTTGGGTCTTTTGGAAGAGCAGTAGCAAGTGCTCTCAACTGCTGAGCCATCTGTCCTGCAGCCGCCCCAAAGAGAAGAGTTACAACTTTATAGTAATCAGGCAACTTCCAAATAAATGATCAAAGTTAACATCACTAACAAGGGGATAAACCAGAACCACAAGACTCTACCTAAGCCACAACAAGGACACATCATTTCTGTATATTTCTTGCCAAAAACGAACTTAGTCATTAGGAAACATCAAACTAGATAAAAATAAGTCTATAAAATAAATTCTTGATATTAAAAAGTGTCAATAAAGCCAGGGGGAGTGGTACAGGTGTGTTAATCCCAGTGATCTAGACTATGTGGTAAGAGGATTGCCAGCTTGAGACCAGCCTGGGCTACACGTGTTTCAGGTCATTGTGGGCTACATAGTAAGCCTGTCTCAGAACAAAACCAGGTCTGGTGGTACAGAACTATACCCACAGCACTCTGTAAAGGGCAGAAGAATCAGTTCAAGGTCATCCTGAGCTCATATTCAGTTTGAGGCCAGCATGGGCTACAAGAGACCCTGTTAGGGTATATATATATATATATATATATATATATATATATATATATATAAATTATTGGTTCTGTAAGACAGGGTTTCTTTGTGTAGCTTTGGAGCCTATCCTGGCACTCCATCTGTAGACCAGGCTGGCCTCAAAATCACAGAGATCTGCCTGCCTCTGCCTCCTGAGTGCTGGGACTAAAGGTGAGCACCACCACCACCCAGCCTTTGTTTGTTTTAATATATAAATAAATTAAACAAGGAGAGAACCAACTCTTAAAAGTTGTCTTATCATAGGGCAGTGGTGGTACACACCTTTAATCCCAGTTCTCAAGAGTCAGAAGCAGGCAGGTCTCTGTGAGTTCCAGGCCAGCCTGGTCTACAGAGCAAGTTTCAGGATAGCCTGGGCTGTTACGAGGAGAAACCTGGTCTCAAAACAGAAACAAAAAAAGTTGTCCTTTGATATTTGTACATAAAACTCTGGCACAGAAGCAAGAGGACTGTACACAAAAATGTGTATACACACACAAAATAAGTGTAATAAAACCATTTTTGAGACTCTGTCTCAAACAACAAAACCCTTCTTAAAAAACAGGAAACCAAAAGTGTCATTAAATGTTGTTGTGGGAGTAGACCAAAACATGTGACAATCTCAAATGTATCTTACAGATATGCTAGCATTTATGTGAAATTCCATATAGGTTTTTAGTAGCAAACTATCAAAATTAATTTCCCCAGTGGGAGATTGGTGAGATAAATTGTGATGCAGTTATTCCATAAATTATATTAAAAACAGAACAATCTAAAACTTAGCCAGACGTGGTGATGCTGTGTGATACTTGTTGTGGGAATGGCACAATTTCTGAGGCAGTTCAGAGGTAAAGCATTTGCCTACATATATAAGCCAGATGTGGCGATACATGCCTATAATGCCTGTATTTAAGACCCAGAAACAAGTGACTGGAGAGATGGCTCAGCAGTTTCGCACTGGCTGCTCTTCCAGAGATCCTGGGTTCAATTCACAACATCCACATGGGATCTGACACCCTTTTCTAGTGTGTACATATATATACAGACAAAATACCCATATAACTAAGTAAGTAAGTAAATAAATAAATAAAGAGGAGGTAGATAGAGGCATAGGGAGACCTTGTCTCAAAAATAAACCACTAGCCAAAAGAAACCGCCACTATTTCTTCCTTAATGTTTTAAAGACTATATATTAAGTTTTGCTGGTGTCAGTACTGAGTTTTCCTGCACAGTCTAATTTTCCAGCTCAATCCAACATCTACCTTCCCCTTCCTCTACCCTGTAAGCATACACCATACTTTAGAGTCACCCTCTGCATCATTTTACCAACAGTTACAATGAAACTGCATGTTCACCAAGTAGTTTATATAAGTAAATATGAGTTTTCCATTTGCCACCCATCTTATACATGACTTTTGTGATTTTCAAATCTACAGACCTAATAAAAAAGGTTGCATCAGCATAATTATTACAGCCAGATAGCTGAAGTTTGGGAATAGCTAAACATCAGCCAGATGAGTGGTTAGTTGTTTTTGTTTTTTCTATGCTGAGATCACAGATAGGGCCTTTGCACCTGCTAAGCCAGTGTTCAGCCACTGAGTTTCACTCCTCATAGTTTGGATTATTTTGTTTTGTTTGAAACAGAGTTTCTCTGTTTAACCCTGGTTGTCCTGGAACTCACTCTGTAGACCAGACCGGCCTCAAACTCACATAGATCTCCCAAACCCTGGGGTTAAGAGCATGCCCCATGCTCTTTTTTCGTTTTTGAGACAGGGTCTCACTTGTAGCCACGGCTGGCCCAGAACTTGCTATGTAGATCAGATCTGCCTTGAATTCACATTGATCCGCCTACCTGCCTGCTTGCATAGTGCTGGGATTAAAGATGTGTGCCACTATGCCTGGCTTTGTTTCATACTTGCAATAGCTATTAGACAGATGTTTCTTATTTCAATCAAAATGTCAAAACCTCCAGTATAGATCAGCATAATATATCCAATGGTATAAATTGTTATCTGTGTCGATGTACATGTTTATAAATTAAGATAACAGCTTAAAAATTGAGCATGTATCTATACCTAAGTGCTCAGACATACAGGCAGGGAAAAACCCATACACATAACATTATTTTTAAAAAGTTAAAGGGGTGCTAGAGATATGGTTTGATGGTTAAGACCATTGGCTGTTCTTCCAAAGGACCCAGGTTAAATTCCCAGCACCTACATGACAGCTTATAACTGTCTGTAACTCGAATTCTAGGGGATCTGATATTTTCACACCAATGCACATAAAATAAAGTTAAATTATTATTATTAGTAGTAGTAAGTTAAAGGAGTCCTTTCAAAGGCCGGGCACCTCTGTCCAAATAAGTGTGAGTTTTTAGCAGGCATACTAGACCACACCACTTTGGAATTTGAGCAGGATTGCTACAAGTTAGCTATCAGTCCAAGCTATACAGTGAATAGTTTAGCCGGGGCCAGTGTGAGACGTTTCACATACAAAAATTTAAAAAGCCGGGTGGTGGTGGTACACGCCTTAAATCCCAGCACTATGGAAGCAGAGGCAGGCAGATCTCTGTAAATTCGAGGCCAGGGCGAGTTCCAGTACAGCCAAGGATACACAGGAAAACCCTATTTCGAAAACACAAAACCAAACAAACAAACCCTGAGTCCACAAATCTGCCTCTGTGTCCTGAGCCCTAAGAACGGACTAACTATTGAGTTTCCTCAACGCCCATTGCACCAATCTCGTCGCTCCTAAAGCCACCTAGGAATGTCTACCTAGCATTATACTTGTCTTCCCCTGATTTAAAACCACCAGGGTACCGGGAAAGCATCCTTTCTTTGTGTCCCCAAGTTTAAAGATGAAACAAGCAATAAAAATGAATCTAGGAAACCTCGCGAGAGGTTGAGGGGCACATTCCCGGAACCCAGAGTCCAGTAGCTACAGACACTCCGCAAAGCGAGTTCCTCTGCTTCCTGTCACGCCCAGATGAGTGCTGAGGCCTAAGCATCCCTCACACACATGACCTAGAGGACTTTCCTGCACAGCAGGCCACACTGTCGCAACGTTTAAGTCCTTAAGGCGCGGATCAGCAACAATCTGTTGCGACGAAAACGGAACCTTAAGATTCGGAGTGCCGATTGCCAGAGAACAAGTTTCTCGGATGCGCAATGACGCCGCAACTGGCCGTGATGGGCGGAGCCTCAAGAGACTAGCGTCCGACTGAGCCAATCAGTGAGCAGCAGCGGAGCCGCGGTCCAATGGAGGTGCCTTGTGGGCACGCTAGGGGCGGGCCAGGTGCGTAAGACTTTTCGAGAAGACCCGCTTAGAGCACGTTGTTCTCGGCCTCTCCCTGAGTTAGGCCAGCCATGGCGGCGGTGAAGACCCTAAACCCTAAAGCCGAGGTGGCCCGGGCGCAGGCAGCGCTGGCGGTGAACATCAGCGCAGCACGGGGCCTGCAGGATGTACTGAGGACCAACTTGGGGCCTAAGGGCACCATGAAGATGTAAGACCCGGAGGGCGGGAGGGCGGCGGGCCGGGCGGGCCCATGGCCGCAAACTCGAGCCGCCGCCTCCAGGCCTTCGCTTTCTACCATGCCTGTGAGGCCTCCCGTCCAGACCGCCCGCTTGACACCTTTCGGGCTTGCCAGTCGCACCCGCTCACTTTGGAGGAAGAGGGTGGCGTGTGTACCTTTCCTCCACCCAGCCCAGTGGCCCCGAGCTTATTAGGATGTAGTTGTAAGGTCCAAACTTAATGGGATTTATTTTTTTGTTCCCTCTTAGTTGGCAAATTAATTAAGTTCACTGGGCCTTAGCGCTTTCTTTTACTTCGGTCTTACTCACTCCCCGTGCCTTTTCCCCCTTCTTGTACCCCGGGCCCCAAAAAGCGACTGCTTTCATGTCATGACATATATTTCATTGTCTCCCTTGTGGAACTTCTCATTATGTATTTGTTTGGGGTCTGACTGATCAGCTCTGGGCGGCCTCGAACTTTCAGAGATTCACTGTCTCAAAAGAAAAGAGAGAAAAAGGAAATACGCACTTCCCTTTGGCGTCTTTATGGGATTCTTAGTCGGGTTTCCATTGAAAAAAGTCGCATGTCGCTCATGAGTTTCTGCCCGTTTGACAGGCTTGTTTCTGGTGCTGGAGACATCAAGCTTACTAAAGATGGCAATGTGCTGCTTCACGAAATGGTAAGAGGTTACCGTCCTAGATTTAAAAAAAAAAAAAAAAAAAGTCTTTCAAACAAATGTAGAAAGTAGTGTACTACATGAGTCTCCACACATGGTTTTGATCCCTGCTTTGAGGGGAGGGGCTGCTTTTTGTAAAGACTGGGTGGTGGTGGTGGCATTATTTAATCCCAGCACTCTGGAGGTGGGGCAGTTCTTTGTGAGTTTAAGGCCAGCCTGGTGTACAAAGCACGGTCCAGGACATCCAGTGCTGTTGCACAGAGAAACCCTGTCCTGAAAAACCAAAAACAAAACAATTATCAAAGCCAGGCAGGGCTACATAGTGAGATCCTGTCTCAAAAATGGGGTAACTGGGGGGGGACCCCCTCACCTTCCTCCCAACTACTGGAGAAATGAAGATTTCCTTACATCAGAGATAACTTGCTTCTGCCTCTTGAACGCTGGGGCTAAAACTGTACGCCTTCACACCTGGCTAATTATATTTTCTGTAAATTATTTTTGTTCCAAGGCTCAAATAAAATTGATCCAAGCACCCATTTGCTTACCAGAACTTTCAGGTCCAGCAATTCAAATCCCAGAAAAGAAAGTGACTTAAAAATCCAAGCAAAATGTGGCCAAGCTGGACAGTTTATGTGGATGGTTTTAAAAGGAGCCTGTCTTACATTTTACTGAAGGTAGTAGTGGTTTAAGTCATTTAAATAGTTCTCTCTTTTTCTACTTTCAGCAAATTCAACACCCAACAGCCTCTTTAATAGCAAAGGTAGCCACAGCCCAAGATGACATAACTGGTGATGGTACTACATCCAATGTCCTTATCATTGGAGAGCTGCTAAAACAGGCAGACCTCTACATTTCTGAGGTATGCACGATAAAATTGTTTCTGTGATATGTTGTTTGGTGGATTCTTGGTGCAAATTGATGAGATACTACCTGAGAGCACACCATAGACCATAAGATGAACCTGCTTAAATCTGGGAGCCTGTGCTTGTCCTTATCTTGCTCAGGTGTGCATGAAGAAAAAGTCAACTATGTCTATGTATATTTAACAGGCCTGCCTCAAACTTAACAGAGCTCTGGCTGGTTCTGATCCACACCTGGCCTAGTCTCTGGATTTTTTTTTTTTTTTAATGTTTCAAAATAATGTGAATTAGTTGAGATTACCTGCAGACAGGATAAGCATTTTCTGACAGCAGATTTTAGGAGCTAGTTTTGGATTTGGTATTCTGGTTTGCACAGTGAACACCCAAGTGTGCTTTGTCTGTGGTTCCCTTGGCCTTGACTCTGTGCTAGAGTAAAGTCTGTTCTTTTCCTCTGCATTGAAAGGAGTACTGTGTCCTTTTTAATGTATTCAAAAAATCAGCACATCATGTTAGCTTCATTGTATTTAGTATGGATCACCCATGGTGTACCTTCAAATGTTAATGAACTTAGTGAATTGTTGCATCTTGTTGATGATGTAAATGTTGGCTGTGGTTTTGTAACTGTTTTGATTATAGGGTCTTCATCCCAGGATAATAACTGAAGGTTTTGAAGCTGCAAAGGAAAAGGCACTCCAGTTTTTGGAGCAAGTCAAAGTAAGCAGAGACATGGACAGAGAAACACTCATCGATGTGGCCAGAACATCTCTGCGAACTAAAGTTCATGCTGAACTTGCAGATGTCTTAACAGAGGTGTGTGATGCAATACATAGAGAAAATCTGCCATAAATATTTTTTCTTAGTGTTGTCTACAGGTCTTCACAGGAATGCTGTGTAAAGTAAGGGGTTCAGGTTTTTTCCTGGGCAGTAATAAACTAATCTGTCTTCAAAGAGTGAAGAAAAAATTGTTACCAGGACAGGCAGGTTTTGGGAGAATAATTGAAACTTCTATAGAAGGATTATAAAGTGCAGATATGGAGTTTTTGGAAAACCTCTAGTCATAGGTGGCTTCCCCCCCCCCCCATGGGAAGTAGTAGTTTGGTATGTGTCCTGATCTAATCAGGCTAATTAATAATTCACTCTAACACTTTGTTTGGGGAACTTTCAAATTTCTCTGCTATTTTTGAATAAATTAGAACTTTATTATAAAAGGTAAATTGTTGTAAGGTGTAATTATGTTTGTTTAGGGATGGGGGAGTTTGAAATAGATTCTCCTTAATCTTAACCATAGTCCTTAGTGTAACTAAGAAGTTACCTGTGTTTGCAATGCAATAATGAGAATGTTGATGATTCTTCAGACAATTGCAAGTTGATTTAGAGGCAAATTACTTCAACCTTTCCACTTGTCTAAAGGTCAGATAAAGTGTATCAGCTTCTACAAATTAAATTTATTTAATTGTTATCTCGTAGGCTGTAGTGGACTCGGTTTTGGCCATTAAGAAAAAAGATGAACCCATTGACCTCTTCATGGTTGAGATCATGGAGATGAAACATAAATCTGAAACTGATACAAGGTAGGTGACAGAATGTTTTGAGATGTTATTCTAAAATATGAGTATCTGTGAGTGCTTATTGAGTACTTTGCATAATGGAAAGATTGCTGGTTAATTAAGTTTGTTCAAAGATTTCTAGTTTGAAAATGTTTCTTTAAGGGAATTAAAGTGATCATAGTTTGATAGCCTACTACAGATTGTAGTTTCTCCTAAGGTAGAAGGTTGTTATTTTTGTTTGGGCAGCTTGTCTTGTATCTTAGAACATTGCTTTTTCCGCATCTGGCCTTAAATTTAACTGAGAAGTTTTGAAACTATTTTAGAAATTTGTGGGCTTGTATGAAGATTATCACTGTAGCAGTTTTTTTTATTAGTGTGTGTCACTCTAGAGGAGTGATACCAATTTTTCTGTTTTATAGCTTAATCAGAGGGCTTGTTTTGGATCATGGAGCACGGCATCCTGATATGAAGAAAAGAGTGGAAAATGCCTATATCCTCACATGCAATGTGTCTTTAGAATATGAGAAAACGTGAGTTTATAACAGACTTCAGGGTAGGAAGAGGTTGGTATGGGGACTTGGGTTATATATGTGTAGCTTGGTCATAGAGCACTTGGCCTAGAATGTGCCCAACCTAATGCAACTCCCTCAGTCACATTACAATTAAGGTAAAAATGGAAATCTTCCCCTTTCCTGTGACGTTTTTGTTTTCTTTTGTAGAGAAGTGAATTCTGGGTTCTTTTACAAGAGTGCAGAAGAGAGAGAAAAACTAGTAAAGGCTGAAAGAAAATTCATTGAAGATAGAGTTAAAAAGATAATAGAACTGAAAAAGAAAGTCTGTGGTGATTCAGATAAAGGATTTGTTGTTATTAACCAAAAGGTAATAATTTAAAGTTTTGAATTAGTCTTGTTTGTTTTCAAGGTAAAGGCTATTGAAAATGTTTTGTGTTTTATTCAGGGGATTGACCCCTTTTCTTTGGATGCCCTTGCAAAAGAAGGTATTGTGGCTCTGCGAAGGGCCAAGAGGAGAAACATGGAGAGGTGAGTGGCGCCAACTTCACACTTTGCAAGGGCCTTAGAATTATTCCTTTTGCTCCCCTGCTGGTTTTCCATATTATTAGCATATATTATTGAACAAAACCATTGGTTTCATTATATGTTTTGGTCATTTTCACACACACACACACACCCGGCTGTACTTTTTTATCCCTATTACTGGTTGCTCTAGTTTCTAAGTAGTCTACTTTTGTTTTCCTTTAGAAAAAAAATTTGCCTATATAACCCATATTTTGCTTTTTGCATATTCTGTATTGTGGCAAACTAAAAATCTACCTTTCCTATGTTCAGGCTTGTGCATACCATAGCACATAGGTATAAATCCGAGGACAGCTTGAGGAGTCAGTTCTCTCCTAACTTGGGGACCAGGGAAAAAACTCAGGTTGAAGGGCTTAATCCTTAGCTTGAGGTCCTATCACAGACCCCCAGATTTGGCATTTAACTTCACTGTTGGTGATCCTCAGCCTCCCAAGTACATGGTTATAAATAAATACCACTAGTGTCAGCCAGTATTTTAACCTCTTCAAAAGTGCAAAGTTCTTAGTCTAGAGGCAACATCAGGAGAATAGTATGTTAAGGTATGATTGCACACAAACCCGTAATGCTGTCTTTTAAGACAAGGAGGCAGCCCTGCATATATATCTCAACTGAATATTCAAAATTAAGGACAAGCGAGAAGGAAGGTTCCTAAGAAATATTCCCACACAGAAATCCATCCTATTCTGGTTTCCTTGTGTTGTGATGGCCTTGGTGAGATTTAAAAGCTTGGTTACCAACTAAGTTATGGTGAATGGCAAGAGCTTTGGTTTATGATACACTACCTCCATGACACATGATAGCCAGGGCTGTTACACAGAGAAATCCTGTTCAGGAAAACATAAATAAATAAATGGGAAATACATTGAAATGTAGTTTTATCATGGGATTGGAGAGGTGGTTAGGAGCACTGATGGCTCTTCAGAACCCAGCACCCACGTGGCTGCTCGTAACTATTGTTATGAGTTGGTTTTTCCCTGCCTGTCTGGTCCCACCTCCAGCCCCAAATAATATACAAAGACACTGTATTAGATATAAAGCTGGTGGCCTGTTTCTGATGTTTCTTATTGGCTGGGTCTGTCTTAATGATTAACCCATTTCTATTAATCTAAGTACTTCCACATGCTCTTATCTTACCAGAGAGGGGCTGGCATTCTACCCTGTATTCCTCCATGTTGAATCTCCTCCTTACTACTTTCTCTTTCATTGTCTCCTAGCCCCACCTATCTTGGTTTCCTATTGGTCAACAGTGCTTTATCCATTAAACCAATAAGAGAAACATATTTACAGAATGACATCTCCCATCAGTCTGTAACTCGAGACATACATGCAGGAAAAGGCATGCACACAAAAATAAATACATAAATGTGCTTTCATCAACCAGGCAATGGTGACACACACCTTTTAGTCCCAGCAGAGCCAGGACTGTTACATAAAGAAACCCTGGGGGAGGAGGAGGTGGGACGACAATATACTTTGATCGCGTCATTCTGAAAATCGCCTTCCTAAAGATTGTAGTCTTACTGAGTATAACCAACATGGCTTATACATTTTCACATAATGTGCTTTCACTGTTACAGGCTGACACTTGCTTGTGGTGGTATAGCTCTGAATTCCTTAGATGACCTGAATCCTGACTGTTTGGGACATGCGGGTCTTGTCTATGAGTATACGTTGGTAAGTGTTTTCTCCTAAAGACAGTATTCTGTTTATCAGTATTTGAGTAGAAAATTTCAGACTCAATCATATTTTTCTTAACAAGTTTTTGTTTGATTTTTTTTTTTGGGGACAGGGTTTCTCTGTAGCAGCTCTGTTCTGGTACTCTGTCAGTGAAACTGGCCTCAAATTTAGAGGTCCACCTGCCTCTGCCTCCTGAGTGCTGGGATTAAAAGAGTGTGCGCCACCACCTCCTGGCTTTTCTTAATTTTATGTGTTTATTTTCAGACAGGTTATTACTGTATTGCCTGGGCTAACCTAGAATTAACTGTGTAAGGGTTTTTGGTTTCTCAGGATGGGGTTTCCTGGCTAGCCTGGTCTACAGAGCGAGTTCAGGGCAGGCTCCAAAGCTACACAGAGAAACCCTATGTTGAAAAACAAAAAAAAGACAAGAGTTTCCGTGTGTGGCCTTGGCTGTCCTGGAACTTTATTGGCCCTGAACTCAGACAAACTCCTGCCTCTGCCTCTCTATCTAGTATTGCGGTTAAAGGCATGCACCACCACTGCCCTGCTGTATAGAGCTCTTTTCGCTGAGTTTATTCTAGGTTGCTTTTTGTGAGGGTTACTTATTGGACACAGGCAATTTGACAGTGGTTACAGCACTTTTAAAATAGGATTTTCTCGTGCATCTTGGTGGTTTATGTGTAATATGAGTTGACTTTAAGCTTTTAATTTCTTTTGTACCTGATTATCCCCCTCCTTTCAGATTTTCTTTAATGGGATGATGGCTGTTTCCTATTACACTACTTACTCTTTCACATACCTCTCCCTATACTCTTCACATGCGCTGTTTTTTTTGGTTGGTTGGTTTGTTTTGTTTTGTTGGGTTTTTTTGGGGGGGGGTTGTTGTTTTAAGACAAGGTTTTACTATAAATCCTTGGGTGTGTAAGAACTCATGAAACCTGTCTGCCTCTCTTTCAAGTTCTGGGATTTAAGGTATGCATTACCATGCCCGGAAGGTATCCTGTTTTGACAGTAATTCCTCTTCTCCCAGGGCGAAGAGAAGTTCACCTTTATTGAGAAATGTAACAATCCCCGTTCTGTCACATTACTGATTAAAGGACCAAATAAGCACACGCTGACTCAAATCAAGGATGCAATAAGAGATGGCTTGAGGGCTGTCAAAAATGCTATTGATGATGGTAAGAACCACGCTGTACTTATGTTCTTGTTGCTAGTCTAAAAGGCATGGCTGAATACTGTGTTCTTTAGTCAGTAATTTACACAGCCAGACACCATGCAAAAGTAAAGTCTTCTTTTAAAATGATTGGTATGCTGTTTTTTTTAAATGGTATATCATTACTAAAAGTAAGTACAAATAAATGAGTAAAACTGGTGGCTCTTTAGCTACCAATTGGAACAGTGTGTTTGGTTATATTATGGCTCAAGAGGCAGGTCTGCATATGTGAGACCCACATTTCCATCTCTAGCACTGCAAGAACTTATAAATGCACATGCCTAATCACAGGTGTAGTGGATTCATAATAAGTTAAATGCTTAACATGTATGTCTCCTTACAATGCCATGTAAAACTTGGTTTTACATTTGCTGTTTTCGGTTTCTCTGACTTCTCTCCCTTGTCCACAGGCTGTGTTGTCCCGGGCGCTGGCGCAATAGAAGTGGCAATGGCAGAAGCACTGATTAAATACAAGCCCAGCGTGAAGGGCAGGGCTCAGCTTGGAGTGCAGGCATTCGCAGATGCCTTGCTCATTATTCCCAAGGTTTGAATGCTTTCCTGAGTTTTCCTTGCTGAAAGGCCAGCCTTTGTCCTGCAATCAGTTGTTAATGCTAATTTCCTAAACTGTGTCAAGCCAGGTACCTGTGAGGCTGAGGCAGGCTGATCTTGGCCAGCTGATGTACATAACATTTCAGGGTAGTTTCCCTTAGCCCTGTGTGGGTAGAGGTTTGAACACCCACCCTACCATACAAGCTGTACAAAGGAGAATGGAGAAAAAAGAAAGCCAGCATGGAGGTTGGTCACAGAGTGAGGACTAGCAGCCATATAACAAGGCAAGAGGCAAAGTGGACAGATAACAGAGCTGTCCATCAGCCCTGTCAGCCATTGCCTGTATGGGTTGTTCAAGTATGAACTTGCTTTTTTTACTTGAGTAAAACTAATGGACATGTCAGTCTCTATGAAGTACTGGGTAAAGGTGAAAGTTTGAGCAGTGCTTTTGTGAGGGCCATGGGTTGGTGTATATTAGAGTTAGTCAGCAACACCTGTCTATTCTCTCGAAGAGCACATGAGTAATGAATGGTTCTATCTCAATGCATACAAGCCACCACCTCATTTATTTATTTATTTATTTATTTGGGGCAAGAAGGGGTGTGCTATAGCACACATAGAGACGTCAGAAAGAAGATTGCTTTCAGGGGAAAAAAACCTTTTTTTTTTTTTTTTTTAAATTGGAAATATTGTATATTTACTATAGGCTTAACATTGAATTTTCAGTTTGTCTCTTCAAGAATTAAATTTGTTTGATAGGTTCTTGCGCAGAACTCTGGTTTTGACCTTCAGGAAACATTAGTTAAAGTTCAAGCTGAACATTCAGAATCGGGTCAGCTTGTAGGTGTGGACTTGAACACAGGTAAGAATGCCTTTGAGGGTTAGAGCTAGCTGGAGTACAGCTGGGGCAGGTGAGGCTGGGAGGGGCCTTGCTGGGCTGCTCTGCTCTGCTCTGGTGTCAGTGCTGTCCTTCAGGGTTGATGTGACACATAACTGCACTAACGAGGTGGAGACTGAGGCGTAGAGTGCTTATTTTAAATGGTGGAGTAAAGCTAGTGGCATGATTTTATTCCTGCTTTTTAGACCCTATAGCCTAAATATAAAGCAGAAGGCCTATTGTCCGTACTGTCACTAACTTAATAGAAGAGATTGCTGGAATGAGGGAAGTCAACAGGAATGTGTCCAGAACAGAGGGGTGTCCAAAGCAGTGAGTGCTTTGTGTGTGCAAGTCATAAAGAGATGGACCACAGGGCCATGATTCTGGAGAGGAGTGGTGATTGGAGGACTACTGGTTACTAGTGGATGAGTAGTCAGTGATAACCAACACTATTACTTAACATTTTAAGATTGGAGGTTGTCTTTTTGACTACATAGCAAAACCCTGTCTAAAATAACCCAAATTGGCCCTTGTTTTCTGTTCTAGAATTGGCAGGGTTTGTTCATAAAATAGAATGATTTCTTGAAAAGGGCTTTTGATGGGGCTAGAGAAAGATGGGTAAGAACACTTGCTGCTCTTCAGAGGACCTGGGTTCAGTTCCCAGCACCCTCGTGGCAGTGCACAACTGTTACTTCAGTCCCAGGGGATCTGATAACCTCAAACAGACAGACAGACATGCAGTTAAAAGACAATGCATATAAAATGAAAATCCTTTTTTATAGGGGGTATCTGATAGTCTGTGATTTCAAGGTGTGGTATTTTTCAGGTGAGCCAATGGTGGCAGCAGAGATGGGTGTGTGGGATAACTACTGTGTGAAGAAGCAGCTGCTTCACTCCTGGTGAGTTTGGAAACTTGAGCTAGCTCTTGTCATTTAGTTGGATAAGTCGAAATGTTCGTATCTGAGCTGTCGTCTTCTTTTTCCCTTCCAGTACTGTGATCGCCACCAACATCCTCCTGGTTGATGAGATCATGAGAGCGGGCATGTCCTCTCTGAAAGGCTGAAGAGGTCCCTTGTCACTGCATCTGTAATGCTGCAGAATGATGTGGGGAAATGATCTTTTTTTGTCCAAGTGATTTGGAAAAGAATTTACTCTCCCCAGTTGAAGAAAAGGAACAAGACATTTGGCACCTGTTCAAATTATAATACTGTTTAAAAAAAAATTCTGTTGAGTGTATGCATAAGGTCATAAAGTGGGCCCTTTTAAACCCACTGAACATGTTTTAGCTACAATGACACATATTAAGATAAGTGTGTGGTCTTCCTTGTTCCTTAATGTTCTTCAAAAAATTGTAATGGTTTTTTTCTTAACAGCATGGTGGTGCGTGCCTGTAAGCCTAGCACTTTGGAAAAGAGGTCTAAAAGTTCTGCTTTAACTCAGGCTACAGGAGACACCCCCCCCCCCCCCAGCTCAACGTTTTTTTGTTTTTTTTTTTTTTCCCCCTCTTGGATGTATTTTAAGTTAGCCAACTAACTCCCTGTTATACATGTAAGATTCTTGCCAGTGCAAAACACATCTGGGTAATTTATGGTTTTCATAGTGTTTAATAAATACTTAAAAAAAACTGATCGTTTATAATTTTGACATAACTGCTAAAAAAAATGCTTCCCTGGAAAAGCTAACTTAAGGTTATTAGATGGAGGCTGGAGTGGTAGATCACAATTCTGAAGCCCAACCCCTCCTGACAGCATGAGAACACAAGAGGTGGAAGTAGTTACAAGTTAACAGCCAAAAGGAAAGATGGCTAAAGAATAAGGAGTTGGGTTAAATACAATATTTTTAGGCTATTTCCAAACCTTTAAACTATGCTTTTGCTTCGTGTCCATCACAAGCTTTGTTGTCATCTTTTTCTCACCTAAATACTCTTGGTTTCCATTAGTTTATGTGTTGCATAATATATGAAATATTCCCGAGTTGTGGCGGGGGTCCTCAGTATTCTACAGTGAGGAAATAAAAAGTTGGGACCTGTGGTCTTGTGTTTACACAGTTCAACTGAATAAAGTGGCATGTGGGTGGGTGGATAGGTATTTAGTAGGAGTGCTTACTGTTCGTGCAAAACCAGGAGTTCCCAGCAGCCACACCGTGCTGTTCCTAACCAACTGCAACTCAGGCGCTGTGAGCACGAACACACGCCTTACATTACTTATACAAGAGTTTATAGAGAGATAAGTCTAATTGTGAATAAGTTGGAATGCAATCTAATTCATTCATGGGCGGTCCCTACAGGCGAGCTCCCATGGTGTGCCACCTGGGTCTCCCAACAGCTCTGCCATTGGTTAAAAAGATGAGGTTGCTTACCATCAAGCAAGTGCGCAGGCGCGAGGAAGTCAACCGGGAGACCGGTTCTGAGTTGACGCATGCGTGTTGAGTCCTGACTCTTCAGCATGGGTTCCTCGCTCCCTGTTTTGTCTCTGCTGTGGCTCCTGTCCAGTCCCAGGCTTCAGCTAGGTCAGTGTGCTGCCCTGTTCCTGTTTCTCCTATCCATCCCCGAGCTCCTGAAAAAAGGACTACACCCAGCCTTTCAGATGCTGCCCCAGCCTCGGGGGGTTTGTGGGAATCTCGGGCTGCTTGCTGGGGCAGGCCGCCACGAAATTGCACAACTAAGGGTTTTAAAATCAGGGTCTCATCTAGTGCCTGGCCCTGCCCAGGCCGTTGAGTGCAGCATGCTGGTTTTCCTGTTTTCTCTGTCCCACTTCCCCGTCTTAAGCCGGTGTACTCATGTGTGATACATAGCTTTTACTTGTAGAAAGTTAGCTTTAAAAGCTCAAAGTCACGAAGTCACATACACAAAAATCTGATGCCATTTTCCCCCTTAAAACTGTCAGTACTCTATCATCTGCCTCTGGCTGTCCGGAAACTCACTCTGTATACCAGGCTAGCTTCAAACCCCCAGAGCTCGGACTTCCTCTGCCTACGGGTGCTGGGCTTACAGATGTGAGCCACCACCACCCAGCTTGGATTGAATTGTTTAAAAGACCTCTATGTATGTTTGTGAGCCACTGGTGACCCTGATGCTCATGGAGGTCAGGAAAACGTGGCAGTCTCTTTGGAACTGATGAAATATATTTATAAACCACTGAATGGGAGCTGGGGACTGAACATGGGGTGTGTGCAAGAGCGACAGGTGCTCTCACATGCTGAGCCATCTCTCTAACACCCTATTTTATCTTTGAGGCAGAGTAACTATGTTGCCTTGTCTGGCTATATGTAGAGAGCAGGCTGACCTTGAATTAATAGAGATCTACCTGGGCAGGCACTGTCTCAGATGATCTACAACTCAAGCCCTTGTTTGGGTGGTGGTTTAAAGGTCTTGGCTATATACCCAAGCCAGACTTGAGCTTGTGATCACCTGCTACAGGTTTCTTAGAGTTTGGATTATAGGCATAAAATAAAAAAGTGGCTTTGGGTTTTATTTTGTTCTAAAACAGGTTTTCACTATATAGCCTGAAAGTCACAGAGTTCACTTGCCTCTGCCTTCTATGTGCTGGAATTGGAAATATATGCCACCATGCCTAGCCTAACAATGACTGACTTTATTTTTGAAACAGTCTTACTATATAGCTTAGGCTAGCCTCGAACTCAAGATCCTTCTACCCCAGCCTCTCAACTCTTAAGTGCTGGGCTTACAGGTCAGTCACCCACCCCATATGTCTTTTTGTTTGTTTGTTTGTTTGTTTTGTTTTTTTGGTTTTGGTTTTTATTTTTCTGGACAGGGTTTCTCTGTATAGCCCTGGTTGTGCTGCTATTCTGTAGACTAGGCTTGTCCTTGAACTCACAGAGCTCCAACTACCTCTACTCACCCCCATCTCCACCCTATCCCCACTCCCTTCCATGTCCTGGGATTAAAGCTGTGTACCATCACCTCCTCAAATACCCCATATGTTTTTTAAAACATTTGTTTTTCTTTTGAGACAGGTCACACCCTGAAGCCCTGGTTGGACTGGGATCACTGTGTAGATCAGGCTGACCTCAAAATCACAAAGATCTGACCAGGTAGTGATGGCACATGCCTGTGATCCCACCACTCAGGAGGCAGAAGCAAGCAGATCTCTTTTAAGTTTCAGGACAGGCTCCAAAGCTACAGAGAAACCCTGTCTCAGAAAACAAAACAAAGCAAAAAAAAAAAAAAAAAAAAAACTCACAACGATCTGTCTCCAACCCCCAAGTGCTGGGATTAGAGGTGTATATCTCTATAAGTGGTGGACTTAAAAAACAGGGTTATGTATTTTATTTTTCCTTTATGTATAAGTATGCCTGGTGTGCAAAGGGAAAACAGTGTGGTCCCTAAAATAATTTTTAAAATTATAGTTTGCTTGTTTATCTTGTAATTGTTTGAATTCCTTTTTCATTTGAGATTTCCCTACTTAACTCATTTCCCCTCTTGGAATTATTCCAGAAATGGGTAGAATTGTGTCAGAATGCGAAGAGAGCTAAGTACACCTCCCTGGAAGGCTGGGTGTGGACATTCATCCCTTTAATCCCAGCTCTTGAAAGGCAGTCAAGCAGATCTCTGTGAGTTCCAAGGTAGCCTAGTCTACATAGTGAGTTTCAGGCCAGGGTTGGAAGGAAGGCAGGCCCAGTGCCACCTCGTGGGTACCAGGTACACACACAGTACACTTATGTACATGCAGACAAACACTCATAAGATAAAAATATTTTTGGTACACACCTTTAGTCTAAATACTCAGGAAGCAGAAACTCTGTGAGTTTAGGATCAGCCCATTCTATATAGTGAGTTCCAGATGAGCCAGGTCTGCAGAGTAAAGCTCTGTCTCAACAACAATAATAAAAGCTTTTTTAAAAATGATGAGGCAGTGAAATTTTATGTCCATATATTTGCATGAATTACTCCTACCTGTCCTGTTCTGCAGGAAATGCTCAGGCTCCAGCCATGGTGCAACTGCCAGATGGGCGATTTTTGATGGGGACAGATGCTCCAGATGGCAGAGATGGTGAAGGGCCTACCCGGGAAGTGACAGTAAAATCCTTTTCCATTGATGTATTTCCAGTCACCAATAAAGATTTCAGGTATTTGGAAGTGTATTTTTTTTGGGGGGGGGGTTCTTTCTGATCTTTTCTAATTCTTTTGGTTTGGTTTGGTTTGGTTTGGTGTTTTGAGGCAGGGTTTATCTGTAGCATTGGAGTCTGTCCTGGAACAAGTTCTATAGACCAGGCTGGCCTCGAACTCTGCTTTTCCAGAGGACCTGGGTTTAAGTCCCAGCACCCACATGGCAGCTCACAACTCCAGTTCCAGGGCATTTGATATGTTCACACAGACATACATGCAGACAAAATGCCACTGTACATAAAATAAAAATAAACCATTTTTTAAATTATTTTATGAACTTTATGGTTAGGGACTATATTCAAGGGATGAAGCATTAGGAAAGTTGAGAACCACTGCTGTACATGAGTTTCTGTCTAAACAAAACAAACAAACAAAAAACCCCACAGAACTACATACTCAAAAGTGGGATTTTTTTACTAACGCATAGTCTAATTTTATAGAAAAATCTGGTCAGGTGTGTTAGGATAATCTTGGTGTTGCACAAACACACAAATCTAAAGTAGCTTGGCAAGGTAATTCTATTTGTTAAAAAGGGTGCACAAGCCCCAAACCAGACTGGCAAACACTTTACCAAGATTTGTTTCATCTTTTATCTCAGATGTTTGTTGTGACTGCATCTACTTTGTAGAAGCTGGACTTCACACCCTGATTCAGGAATTTTGTCCTTGCAGGCACAACTCTAAGAAAAGAAAGGAAGAAAAAAAGAAAGAAAGACAAACCTAACTACCTTCTACAGAAAAACAACAAAACAAAACAAAACAAAAACACTGCCTTTCATAGACTAATGGGAAAAAGAAAAACTTTGTCACAGGTGTCAGATTAATTTCTTAAAGCTTGTGAAAAGTCTTGCTGGACAGAAACATAAGGCTTCCTGGGGCAGAGGATGGTAGGGATGGGTATAGAATCCTAGCCACTGAGCCAAATGAACACTCTTTTCCCAGGGAGTTTGTCCGGGATAAAAAATACCAGACTGAGGCTGAAACATTCGGGTGGAGCTTCGTCTTTGAGGATTTTGTCTCCCCTGAGCTTAGAAGTCAAGCAAATCAAATGCCGGTAAGAGGGCCTGGATGGGGATGGGGGCACCTGGGCAGAGTCATCTGAGGGAGAGGGGAGGGGTCCCCTGGATGTGTCGTGGAGGATCAGACTAGGGACCTGAGGAGAAGCCAGAGAGAATACACACTACTCAGGTTAACACCACCAGTCAGAGTGGTAACCACCAGGCCTGGTGATGAATGCCTGAAAGTCTAGTTACTTGGGAGGCTGAGGCAGGGTAGCAAGATCAAGGCCAGCCTGAGTGGTTCAGGGAGACCCTGTCTCAAAATGGAATCTTGAAAAGGGGGCTAAGTGTAGCTCAGTGGCAGAGGGCTTGCCTACTCCCATGTACAGAGCTGTGAGTTCAATCCCCAGTCCTGGAAGTGGGGAGTAGGAGAGGACAGAAGACAGAAAAAGATACCCTCCTACTTTGGCTTTGGTTTTTTGTTGTTGTTGGGAGGTATCTGTTTTAAGACAAAGTCTCACAATGTAGACCCTGGAGCTTGGGCTGGAGCTCAGAGAGATCCTACTGCCTCTGCCTCCGTGGCGTTGAAATTACAGCTGTATTGTACTGGGTGTAGGTGCTGCTGGTGACCAAAACCAGAACTTCATGCATGCTAGGCAAGCACTCTGCCAGCTGAGCACGCGCCCAACCCCAGAGTATCTTTATGTCATTACAGATGGTTGTGAGCCACCAAGTGGGTGCTGGGAATGGAACTCAGGTCCTCTGGAAGAGTAGCCAGTGCTCTTAACCTCTGAGCCAACTCTCCAGCCCCCCAATCCCATAGTATCATTTGAAAATATTCCATCCATAGCCAGGTGGTGTTGAGTACACATTCAATTCCAGACTTAGAGTCTCTGAGTTTGTGGCTAGCCTGGTCTACGTAGTGAGTGTCAGTAGATTCCAGGCCATCCAGGGCTACATAATGAAACCTGTCCCAAAACAACAAAAAAAGATTCCATCCATGGCCCAGTCGTGTTCCGCCTCCAGTCCAAAAGGGTTCTTTGCTGGGTCAGATTGTCTCGCCCGCCCTCATGAAGTTTCTGTCTTTGCAGTCTCTTCTCTGGTGGCTACCAGTGCAAAAGGCATTTTGGAGGCAGGTGAGTATTGGTTCCTTTGCCTCATTTTCTACTACTGCACAGTTTCATTTCATTTCGATGAATCCCTAGTCCCTAAAAACACCAGGAATACTGGGGTGCTTTTCTCTGTCTTGGTTTTGAGACAGGGTCTCTCACTGTGTAACCCTGGAACAGTCTGTATGTAGATCAGGCTGGCCTCGAACTCAGATCGCCTGCCTCTCCCTCTGAGTGCTGAGAGTCAAGGCGCACCACCAGGCTTGTCGGGAAATGCTGTTTTAGGCAATGAGTAGGACATTGCAGGAGTAACCCTGTTCCTTCTGCACTAATTCTTTTCCACGTTTCCTACTGCTCTCTTTAAGAAGACTCTTTCTGACTCCCTCCTCCCTCCTCTCATGGCATCTCACTCTGTAGCCCAGGTTCCTCCCTCCTCAACCTTCTGGAATGACAGGTGTGTGCAACCACTCTTCTCCTTGTCTCTTCCGTTTCTCACTCACTGCGCCATCTTTCCTGATGTCCTGTAAAAGCTGAACTGAGTCACCCCCACGCCAAGCATTTTCTAGCCTTTCCCTAGATCCCGGATGCCTAGCTCACTTCACCCTGGCTATCAGCCTGCAGGTCCTGGCTCCGGCATCCGAGAGAAACTGGAACTTCCGGTGGTACATGTGAGCTGGAACGATGCTGGCGCTTACTGCGCATGGCGGGGAAAGCGATTGCCCACAGAAGAAGAATGGGAGTTTGCGGCCCGAGGGGGCTTGAAGGGTATGTGAATGCCAAGGCCGTTCTCTTGCTCATCTTCCTGCCCGGCCCTGCACTGGGGCTTGAAAGGATGGGGAGAGTCTGAGTCCCCTACTGTAGTGATTTTTAACACAGGCTAGGGGCCAATTGCAGTTTCTGTAATTTTTATCTCTGATCCAGTTTAGACCAGTCACCTACAACATGACATAAAAGGAATTACAGATGTTTGTGAGCTGTCAGAACTGAACTACATTCTCTGGAAAAGTGGCAAGCATGCTTACCTGCTTAGCCATCTTGAAGCCCTAAAAAATATTCTTAGAAAGCCAGACATAGGGGCTAGAGAGGTGGCTAGAGAGTACTGACTGCTCTTCCAGAGGTCCTGAGTTCAATTCCCAGCAACCACATGGTTGCTCACAATCATCTGTACTGAGATCTGATGCCCTCTTCTGGCCTGCAGGCAGACATGCAGGCAGGAAAAACTACACCTTAAATCCCTAAACTCTTGGGAGACAGACACAGGAGAATCTCTGAGTTTGTCCACAGAGTGAGTTCCAGGACAGGACAGCCAAGGCTACACAGAGAAACCCTGTTTTGGGGGGAAGGAGGGGAGAGGCAGAGAGGGGAGAGGCAGAGAGGGGGGGCAGAGAGAGAGGGGGGCAGAGAGAGGGGGGGCAGAGAGAGAGGGGGGCAGAGAGAGAGGGGGGGCAGAGAGAGAGAGAGGGCAGAGAGGGGGGGGGCAGAGAGAGAGAGGGGGGCAGAGAGAGGGGGGGCAGAGAGAGGGGGGGCAGAGAGAGAGGGGGGCAGAGAGAGAGAGAGGGGGGCAGAGAGAGAGAGAGGGGGCAGAGAGAGAGAGGGGGGGGCAGAGAGAGAGGGGCAGAGAGAGAGGGGGCAGAGAGAGGGGGGCAGAGAGGGGGGCAGAGAGAGAGAGAGGGGTTTCCCTCTGTAGCCCACCAGGGTGGCCTGCATTCACTGTGTAGTCCCAGCCATCCTCCTGCCTTAGCCTCCCAGTGGCTATAATGACAGGTGTAGTGGATGACAGGTGTAGTGGCACAGGCCTTCAACCCCAGCACTTGGAAGACAGATCTCTATACGCTTGAAGCCTGCCTGGTCTATATAGTCAGTTCTAGGCTAACCAGTGTCACACAGTGAGATCGACCTAGTCTCAAAAAGAAAATAGTAACAATAATCACATCTGTGATCCACCACACCTAGCTTAAGTTACATTTGAAAAAATACAACTAGAACAAAATAGGGCAAAGAAGAGTTACCAGAAACCCTTCTCCTTTTCCACGGGGGATCAAAGAGTCACAGCACTTGGAAGGCTGCGGCAGGAGCATCACAAGTGGGAGGCAGGAGAGTCACTGGCTTTGGTCATAAATCTGTCGTCCTGCAGCCCTGACAATGTAAACTGTCCTTGGAATGGGAACCAACGTCCCCATTGCTTTAAATGCTCCTATGCTCTTTATGAGCACAAGGTTCTATCACTAGTCAGTTTTACGTTACTTTATTTTATTTTATTTTACTTTCTGGCTTTTTGAGGCAGGTTTCCCTGTTTAACAGCCCTGGCTACCCTGGAACTCACTCTGTAGATTGGGCTGGACCCCTGAGTGCTGGGATGAAAGGCGTGCCCCACCACTGCCCAGCCAATGGTCAGTTTTAAATTATGGCAAATGAGGTTCCTTCCTACCTGTTCATGATTGAACTTTTAAATCCAACCAGCAAGTTCCCCATGCCTTCTCCTCGTTGTCTGTGTGTACCTCTGCCACACTCAGATTCACAGGACCAGCTGTGTCATGTAATTCTGTCTGTTGTTTCCCAGGTTAGGGGAGGACTATGACAGAATGGAAGGAGTGACGTCAGTCAGTGTCTCTCACACCTCCTGTCTTCCTTTTGGCTTCCTCACTCACTGTTTTTCTTCTCACCCAGTTTTTTTTTTTTTTTTTTTGTCCCTTTACTGTCCTGTAGGTCAGGTTTATCCTTGGGGGAACCGGTTCCAGCCAAACCGCACCAATTTGTGGCAGGTAAGTCCTGTTTCCTTCCTTCCCCAAGCCTTACAGAGCCCTGCAAAGGCAGTTTCTGTCCCTGGTGGGACCCAGTGCTGTTTGGAACCCTGCTATGGACCCAGATGGCAGTGCCTAGCAGGGCCTGGTGAGACAGGTTTGTCCTCCCAGGAGCAATCCCAAGCTCAAGGTCTTCCTAAGCAGCTGACTCAAAATTTCAAAATGGAACACTGGGTATTGGTGTCGGACGCCTTTGATCCCAGCACTCAGGAGGCAGAGGCAGGCCTATCTATGTGAGTTCCAGGCCAGCCTGCTCGACAGAGTGAGTTCCAGGACAGCCAGGGCTACACAGTGAAACCCTGTCTCGAAAAGCAGAAAGAAAGAGAGAGAATACAAGGGACTATCACATTGTTAAGCAAGTCACAGCCTAGTCATCTTCCCTTGTGTAGAAGCTTCTCCAGTGGAGGGGCACCCAAACTGCAGTTTGTGTGTTGTGCATATGTGTGACTTATGCATGTGGGTGCAGGTGTATTCATGTATGGTATCTTCCTCAGCTGCTTCTCCACTTTGTATTTTTAGTATTTTAAAATTCTTCAATTATGAATCTGGGTGTGGTGACTTATGCCTCTATTCCCAGCACTCAGGAGGCAGAGACAGGCAGACTTCTGAGTTCAGGACCATCCTAGTCTACAGAGTGAGCACCCAGGACATGGGTGCTAGAGACAGAACTCAGGTTTTCTTGGGTCTTTCACAAGCACAGTGGTACAGTTCATGCTTTTTTAAAAATATTTATTTATTTTTATGTGCATTTGTGTTTTGTCTGCATGTATGTGTAAATGTGTATATAAGGGTGTCAGATCCCCTGGAATTGGAGTTACAGACAGTTGTGAGCTGCCATGTGAGTGTTGGAAATTGAACCCAGGTCCTCTGGAAGAGCAGCCCATGCACTTAACTGCTGAGCTCTCTCTCCCGCCCTGAGTGCATGCTTTTACCTGAAGGCCACTCCACAGTGTTTTTGGAGACAGGACTTCTCAGTGGGAGAAGGAGCTCATCATTTCAGCTAGACTGCCTAGCTGAAATCCCCAGGATCTGCCTGACTCTGTCCCCCAGAACCAGAGTTATAAATACATGCCACCATGCCGAGCTTTTGTTTGTTTGTTTGTTTTGTTTTGTTTTTTAAGACAAGATTTCCAGTTCTGGCCATCCTGGAACTTGCTCTGCAGACCAGGCTGGCCTTGAATTCACAGAATTCTGCCTGCCTCTGCCTACTGAATGCAGGGATTAAAGGCATGTGCCATCACCACCCAGTAATGCCAAGCTTATATATGGGTTCTCAGAACATGAACTTGGTCCTCATGTTTACATAGCAAATGCATTTCCCATTGAGCCATCTCCCCAGCTCCTGAACTCTGGTTTTGATAAGAAGAATAATGAAATTGATCAGATCACATGAATAGTTGTAGGTGGTGTGTTTAAGTAAAAGCAGGAGATATGAGACAGTATGGACTCCTGGGCAAGGGATGCCTCTATCCTGGGCAAGGGATGCAGGACATAGATGGGTGGAGACAGCACTCTTTCCAAAGCACTATGTAAGGGAACCTGAGGTCACTATCCTTCCCCCAAGAAGCAGCAGAGTGGAATGACCCTGGTTCCCCTCAGGGCACACAGGAGCACCCGCTTTGGAACAGGCTGATAAATCTTCCACTTTGGTTGTTCTTGCCAGGGAAAGTTCCCCAAGGGTGACAGAGCTGAAGACGGTTTTCATGGACTGTCACCGGTGAATGCTTTCCCCCCACAGAACAACTATGGTAAGACCTCCTCTTGCACAGTATCTGACAAGGTGGCAGGATAAAATCTCCGCCAGCCTCCCCAGGCCATTTGGTGGGTGGGAGAGAGACCCCTGCTTTACCACCTAATGATCTACTGCTACACTATAGGACTATATGATCTCATGGGCAATGTGTGGGAATGGACGGCGTCCACATACCAGTCTGCTGGCCAGGACATGCGTGTCCTCCGGGGGGCATCATGGATTGACACAGCTGACGGCTCTGCCAATCACCGGGCTCGGGTCACCACCAGGTAAGGGTCTCAGGTCAGGGACCACAGGCATCTGTAGCCATGGCTGCCGGTGTGGATGTTGGGCTCCATGAGCCCAGAGCTTCAATCGGTGCAGTTTCTGCATCCATCCCATTTTTTTACTTCAGTCTCTTCCTTGCCCACCTCTTTGAGTATCTGGTTCACACTCCTCACCCTTCTTGCATATCCTTCCTCCACTGAAAGTTGAGCAACCCAGCACTGCTGGCCATGGGAAGTACACATGGGTACCTGAGACAGCCAGGGACCCCTTCCTGAGACTCACTGGAACTAGAGGGAACTGTCTGGCAACCTTGTACTACAAGTTTCCTTCTCACATGGAGCAAGGCAGAGGAAAGGAGACAGAATTGCACATCAGTAGGTCACAGCCAGAAGACAACATGTATTAACCTTCTCATCCAAGACAAGTGGTGGTGGCGCATGCCTTTAGTCCCAACACTCGGGAGGCAGAGATAGGCAGGTCTCTATGAGTTCAAGTCCAGCTTAGTCTACAGAGCTAGTTCCAGGACAGGCTCCAAAGCAACACAGAGAAACCCTATCTCGAAAAACCCAAAACAAAACCTACTCATCCAGCTGCTGGATGCACAGAACATCATTGGTTATAGTCATTTTGTCAATGAGGTGCTGGGACTGCTCATCTCAAATGGAGTTATCAGTGGTGGCTCCCCCAGCATCGAATTCCAGTCTTTGGGACTTCTGCTTTATTCACTGTAAGATTTGATTTGGTCGACCTTGGCCAAGACTCCTTAGGCCTTGTAGTTTCAGACTGTAGGTTTGGAAGATGGTGAGGCCCTGCCTGTCAGAGCTGATTAACTGCTGTGTATTAGTCAGGGTTCTCTAGAGTAACAAAACTTAGTAAATGAATCTCTACCTATCATCTATCTATCTATATCTGTATCAAGATCTATAGTTCTATACAGGGAATTTATTAGTTTATTAGAATGACTTATGTACTTTGGTCCAGCTAATCCAATAATGGCTGCCTGTATAGAAGGTCCAAGAATCCAGTAATTTTCCAGTCCACAAGACTGGATGTCTCAGCTGGTCTCCAGTATACACTGGAATCCCAAAGTAGTAGGCTCTTGCAGGCAAAGAGCAAATGCTTTTTTCTTCCGTGTCCTTATATAAGCTCCTAGCAGAAGGTGCGATCCAGAACAGAGATGGGTTTTCCCCATTTCCACTTCAAGTTAAGCTAAAATCCCTCACAGGTGTGCCCCTCCATTTTTAAGTTTTAGCTAATTCCAGGTGTACTCCAGTTGACGTTGACGACTAAAAGTCACCACCGCATGCCGTGACACTCATTTCTCCCCTCATTTCTCAACACAGGTGTGTTGAGCTGTGATCCTTATCTTAGAGGAGGAGCTACTTGCTCATCAGTGGTCACTAAGATCATCTTCCATTGCAATCCTCTGGTCACTCAGCTCTCCACTCTGTCCCCTTACTGCTTATGGCATGCTAGCTGACTTGCCTTCAAAGCAACTGGGTTAGTTACTATTTGGTTGCTGTGAAGAGGCAGCCATGACCAAGGCAATTCTTATAGAAGAAAGCGTTTAACTGGGGGCTTGCTCACAGTTCTAGAGGCTTAGTCAACGATCGTTGTGGCCAGAAGAAGACCAGCATGGAACTCGGGCAATAGCTGAGAGTTTTACATCCTGAAGGGGTGAGGGGAGAGACAGAGAGACAGACAGACAGACAGACAGATGACGGACGGACGGACGAACAGACAGACACCGGGCCTGTTGTGGGCTATGAAATCTCAAAGCTAACCCCTAGTGGCAGTTCCTCCAAGAAGGTCACACCTACTCCAACATGGCCACACCTCCCAGTCCTTTTCAGATAGTTCCACTACCTGGTGACTAAGCATTAAAATATTTGAGCCACTCTCATTCAAACCTCCAGACCAATTCCCGCCTCAGTAGACCCCATCCCCAACAGTATGCATATTCTCTCCCTGCTTTGCTACAGGATGGGCAACACTCCAGATTCAGCCTCAGACAACCTGGGCTTCCGCTGCGCTTCCAGCACAGGGCGACTGAAGGAGGATCTGTGAGCATCCAGACAGGGATAGAGAAAGCCCACCCTCAGTACTGTGTCTCCCTGACCACGTACCAGAGGCATCTGGATAGCAAGTTCTTCATCAGCCTTTGGGTGACCTCCGTTTGAGCCCTTTCTGTCCGGCAGATGCTTCCCAAGGGCATAAGAACACAACCCCAAGAGGAGGCTGCCATATCCTGGGAGAGGAGGGCCTGGGTGACCATGGCTGGGAGCTGGGTGTTTCTCTAAAGTGCAGTATTAAGGACAAAGGAGCCAAGCACTCGTTCTCCAAAAGACAGTGATCGAAAAATCTCTCCCTTTTAGCCAGGTGGTGGTGGCACACACCTTTAATCCCTGCACTCGGGATGTAGAGGCAGGTGGATCTCTGAGTTCGAGACTAGCCTGGCCTATAGAGTGAGTTCCAGGACAGCCAAGGCTACACAGAGAGACCCTGCCTCAGCAAACTAAATCTCTTCCTTTTCTTTCTCCCTGTCTGATTGAGCTTTCACTTCTCCTGGGAAATCCTGTAGAAGGAAAATGCTTCTCTTATATGATGGTGCCTAAAACCCCTCTGAGGGACCCCAGGCTCCCTGTCTGTTATTTGAAACAGGATGCTCACCATGCGGCCAGGTGGGCCTCACTCTCAGTCCTCTGGCCTCAGCTTCCTGGGTGCTGGGGTTATACATAGTGCACAATATTAAAATACTCTGGTAGAGCAATAATGTGCCAGGTGAAGCTGTGCATTGTGGGAGTAACAAGGTTGGTGCTCCTCTAGGAAGACAAATGTCAGAAGCTTTCCCTCTGAGTGTTAATCATATAGGGGCTTCTGCAAACATGTCCCTGGAGAAGAACTGGATCCCCTGAGGTCAATAAACTCTGCATTTGTATATATCCTGAAGTCCACTTTTTTTTAAATTGTAGTTTGAGACAGGGTCTCATGTAGTTCAGGCTGACCTCATACTCCTTGCGTAGCCAAGAATGACCTTGAACTCCTGATCATCCTGCCTCTACTTCCTCAATTATCAATAACCTTGAGCCCAGAAAGAAACTGAGGCAGGGGCTAGAGAGATGGCTCAGCGATTAAGAGCACTTGTGCTTGCAGAAGAGGTGTTCAGTTCCTACCACCCACAAGGTGGTCCCTAACTATCCATAATTCGTTTCAGGGCATTTGACACCCTCTTTTGGCCTCCACGGGTACTGCATGCTCGTGGTGCACATACTAAACAGGCTGACAAAACACACATAGGACATAAATCTGAAAAAGGAGAAAGAACCCAAGACAGCGACAAAGGTGCACAGTAGAGAAGCCAGAAGGCTTGTAGCTCCCAGAGCACTTGCTCCCTGCCCTTCCACTCCAGCCTGACCCGGCCTCAGCTGCGTTGGATCTATTTACTTATCTGTTTTTATTTATTGATATGTATTGTCTCAATTTTTGTCATACCAGGGGCTGGCTGAACTCAGGGCCTTACACTCACCACGGAGTTACATTCCCAGCCCTATTTTTATTTTGAAACATTGATCACCAAGTTGTCCAGGCTGGCCTGAAACTTGGGATCCTACTGCCTCAGGACAACAGGCACAGCCACCACACCCAGCCCCAGCTGTAATTACTGCCATTTAAGGGGAACACCATTCGCTTCTAAGTGGGGAGCTTTTGAGAGCACTGAGTAGGGCCACCTGCTCTGATGCTGAGGCCTACTTGGGGACTCCTCACAGTTCTGGGGGTGCCGGCTCTCTGCCTCCTCATGCCCCACTGCCACTCAGAAGTCCTCCTCCTCAGCCAAGGAGAGGAGCACCGCCTTGGGTGTGTTCTCGAAGAGGGCAGCCCTGTCCTGCTGCTGGCCTTTCTTCACCCAATGGCCGTAGATTCGGAAAGCATAGGCATCGATGAGCTTCCGTAGAGGCCTCAGGGCGTAGGGGTCTCGGATAACGATCTCTCTGGTTACAGGCTTCACCCGATGGTACTGGTAGTAGATCCTTACCGAGGCCAGCACAGTTAGACAGATCACCTGCAGGAGGCAGCACTAAGAACCCTGTGCCCGTAGCCGAGCTTGTCAGAAAACCCATGATGACTTTGGGAACGCCCTTCATGATGCCCCCTGTTCCCAGACCACATGTATCTACCGGATTTTAAGACATTGCCTGCAACCAGAAATTGAATTGCAACCGTGAATACAAAGAACGGGGACAATTTGCCCGGATGATGGTGGCGCACACTTTTAGTCCCAGCACCTGGAGGCAGGGGCAGGAATTAGAGACCAGCCTGGTCTACGGAGTGAGTTCCAGGACAGCCAGAGCTACACAGAGAAGCCCTGCCTCGGGGCGGGGGGTGGGGGGTGGGGTGGGGTGGGGATAAAGAGTAAAGAAAAGGGGCAATTCTAGAATCCACCATAGTTTAAGGCTCTGCGAGCATGGTGCCAGCAGGTGTAGAGTACTCCAGGAGCCAACAGCAACCTCCCCCAAGCCCCCTTGGCCAAGGTAAGTTTCAGTACCTTGAACTTTCCTCGGGGGCTGAAGTGTCGTACTTCTTCTACCACGTACTGCTGGAAGAAAGGGTGTGCCAAGGCCTCCTCTGCCGAGCAGCGATCCTGGGGCTGCACCACCAAAAAGCGAGACACCTGGGAGAACAGAAGGGCACTGAGGCTACGTTCTGGAACACTCAGGGTGTGATGGTCAATCCTTATTGTCAACTTGATAGGATGTAGAATCACTGCGAAAACTCCGTGGCTGTAAGGGATGGACATGGGACGCTCCACCCTAAATGTGTGCGGCACCATTCCCTAGGCTGGGGTCCCGGACAGAAAGGAAAAAGTGAGCTGAGCACCAGCATCCATCTCTCTGCTTCCTGACTGCGACCGTCTTGTGACCAGCCTCCTCCCACACCTGGAGCCACAAAGCATAAGCCAGAATTAACCCTTCTTTCCTTCCTTCCTTAAGTAGCTTTCCCCCCCCCCACCAAGATTTTAAAAAATTATGTATACAGTATTCTGCCTGCTTGTATGCCTCCACGCTAGAAGAGGACACCAGATCTCATTATAGATGGTTGTGAGCCACCATAGGATTGCTTGGAATTGAATTTCGAGACCTCAGCAAGTGCAGCCACTGCTCTTAACCTCTGAGCCATCTCTCCAGCCTCTTAAGTAGCTTTTGTAACAGCAATGAGACAAATACAGAGGAGCCCCTCCTGGAGATTCCTCCACTCTGGGGTATGCTGCCTGTATTGGGGTGTTTTCCTCTCCCTTGATATCCGAGGAGATGGTGGGCATGGCCTCTCACCAAGTCTTTCACTGTGTCTGAGTAGTCATCCCATTCTGGTGAGCCAAACTGGTATTTGCCATCCATGATCATCCTCAACATCAGCATCTGCTTCCGGTGCCAGAAGGGTGGGGAGCCAGCCAGTAGTGTGTACATGATGACCCCAGTGCTCCACCTGGAGGGTGGCAGGGACTCCGGTCACACTCAGCCTCATGGGTAGGGGAGGCATGCAGGAGTAACCAGGCTAGTTTCATGGGGGACCACCTCCCCACATCTATGCAGATCACTCACATGTCCACCTCCTTCCCATAGCCAGGATGGCTGTCGTCCATGGAGCACTGGATGATTTCAGGGGCCAGATAACTGGGAGTCCCGCAGATCTCTGCAGGAACAGTCACTATCAGGACAGGCCGACAGGGGCCCTTGGGAGCAGTTGCCCAAGGAAGCCAAGAGATGGGACAAGAACAGTGGCAGGGCTCTCCTATGTCACACTCAAGAGTAGCATCAGGGTACACAGGCTCACAGGACATGGATTCCTAGGTTCTTTTAGGCATCTGGGCAAGGAGCTCAAGCTGTGGTAACCTAGGTCAGTGGACTCTTAGAGAGAGGACTTGACTCAAGAGACATCTAGCCTCTGGGCATGTGCACATAGGTAAAAATGCCCAGAGACCAGAAGAGAGTCTTATCCCCTAGAACTGGAATTATAGGTGGCTTTGAAAGTCTCTCTATGTGGGTGCCGGGAACTGAAATCTGGGTCCTCTACATAAGGAATACATGTTTTATTTTTTATTCATGTATAGGGAGGGGTATCTTGCCTGCAGTCATATTTGTGTACCAAATGCTTGGCTAATGCCCAAGGAAGCCAGAAGAGGTGATAGGGTTATAGGACCCCCTGGAATTGGAATTATAGACAGTTGTGATTGGTAATGGGTGCTGGGACTTAAACCCAGATCCTCTGAAAGAGCAGCCCATGCTTTTAATTGCTGAGTCATTTCTAGAGTATTTTTTTAATTATTTATTTTTATTTTATGTGCATTGATATTTTGCCTTCATGAGGATTCTGGATCCCCTGAAACTGAAGTTACAGACAGTTGTGAACTGCCATGTGGGTGCTGGGGATTGAACCAGGATCCTCTGAAAGAGCAGTCAGTGTTCTTAATCACTGAGCCATCTCTCCAGCCCCGAGGATTTTTTTTTTTTTTTGAGTGTGTGTGTTGTGCAAGTCAGAAGTCAATGTCAAGTGTCTTCCTTGATTGCTCTCCATCTTGTTTTTGAGGCAGGGCCTCTTACTGGCCCAGAGCTGGCTGATTCAGATGAACTGGCTAGCCAGCGATACCCAAGGATCCTCCTATCTATCTGCCTGTCTAACGCTGAGGTTACATGGGCTTTGGGGATTCAAATTCAGGTCTTATGTATCCCATTTTACCCACTGAGCCATCTCCTCAACCACTGAAGTGGTAGATATTCAAGCCATTTCCATCCCTGAGACCCCTCTATAGACCAAGGCCATGGTACCAGACCTCGGAGCCTCTCTCCTGGCTGCAGCTGGCAGGAAAATCCAAAGTCTGTGAGCTTGATGTTCATGTCATCATCTAGAAGGATGTTCTCTGGCTTCAGGTCCCGATGGACAATGTTGAGTTTATGCAGGGTGCAGATCACTTCCAGCAGGGCCCGCATGATCTTTCTGAGGAGGCAGATACATAGCAATGCTTTATTGTTATTTTACTTATTGTTGTTGTTGTTGTTGTTTTGTTGTTTTTCAAGACAAGGTTTCTCTTTGTAGCCCTGGCTATCTTGAAACTTACTCTGTACACCAAGCTGGCCTTGAACTCAGAGATCTTCCTGCCTCTGCCTCTTGAATGCTGAGATTAAAGTCTTGCACTACCATATATGGCTATTTCATTTTATTGTTTTGTTTTATTTTATTGTGACAAGGTCTCCTGTAGCCTGGGCTAGCATCTAACCTACTATGGATGACCTTGAACTCTTCATCTTCCCAAGTGCTAGGATTAGAGGTATGTACCACCATGGCCAGTTTATGCTTCCTGCATGCAAGGCAAACACTCTAGCAGCTGAACTATGGTCTAACCCTATTTTTAACTTTTCAAAATACAGCGTCACATGCAACTCATGTAAGCCTTGAACTCATGATCCTTCTGCCTCAGCCTCCCTATTATTGAGATTACAGATATTCATCACCAGTCAGTTTTAATTTTTTTGTTTTGTATTTTATCCTAGGTACTATAGATGGAAATCAGGGCTTTAAACATGCTGGATAAGCACTATACTGCTGAGACACACAGCCAGTCCATTGTCTTTTGTTTTTTGGTTGGTTTTTTTTTTTTTTTTTTTTTTTGGTTTGGTTTGGTGGTTTTTTGTTTGTTTGTTTTTTCCAGACAGGGTTTCTCTATGTGTCCTTGACTTCCTGGAACTCACTCTGTAGACCAGGTTGGCCTCAAACTCAGAGATCTGCCTGCCTCTGCTTCCCCAGTGCTACGGTTAAAACCATGCAGCCCCATCACCTGGCCTGTTTTGGGTTTAGTTTTTAATAGATTGTATTTATTTAATGTGTGATATGCCTGAGTGTGCATATATGCACCACCGTTATATAGTGTCCAAGGTGGTC